TCAGGATTTCTCCATGTTGGTGGTCAGGCTGGTCTTGAACTCCTGACCTCTGCCCATCTCGGCCTCCCAAAGTGCTGGGATTACAGGCATGAGCCACCGTGCCCAGCCATTTGTTTGTTTTTTTGATACGGGTCTCACTCTGTTGCCCAGGCTGGAGTGCAGTGGCATGAACATGGCTTACTGCAGGCTTGACCTCCCAGGCTCAAGCAGTCCTCCCTTCTCAGCCTCCTGAATAGCTGGGACCACAGGAACACACCACCGCACCTGGCTGATTTTTACATTTTTTTAGAGCCAGGGTCTTACCATGTTGCCCAGGCTGGTCTCAAACTCCTGGGCTCAAGTGATCCTCCCGCCTCGGCCTCCCAAAGTGCTGGGGTTATAGGCATGAGCCACTGTACCCAGACCCCTTCAGGGTCTTATCTTTATAAGGGGTGGGGGATGGTCAGCACCTTTCTCATTGTCACCTCTACCTTCCCTAGGTATGTGCAGGTGAAATTTGTCTGCATTCGGACCCAGTCAAACAGGAGGAGAACCCAGGAGGCAGACATGTGCCCAGCGTACTTGCTCCTAAGGTACAACGAGAGACTAGATAGACTATTTATCAGTGAACTGAACACACAGCACATACATAGTGACTCTAAAGTGGCTAGTCTTGGAGGAGACACCACTGGCAAATCTCAAAAGACAATGTGCCTGCAGAGATTCCAGCCTGTGCAGCCCACAAGCAAAAAAGACCTTGACACTGCCGATAAGTCCCTGGTTGAGCCATCGTTTTGCCTAGATAAAGTACAAGTGTCCTCAAAGCCAGAGCAGGAAGGCATCACTCCTTCTGACCTGGCCAAGATAGCAAAAGTGATGAAGAACTTTCTTAAGGTAGATGAGGGTTCCATGGCTTCCTTTAGTGTGGGTGACAGCCAACACCTGGACCGACTCAGCTTCCAGAGCAGTAAGATGAGTGACCTGTTCATCCGCTTTCCAGAGAATCTCTTGCTACACCGGGTGGAGAACACCCAGGGCCACATCCTCTATGCTTTCTTGGTGGAGAACAAGGAACGAGAAAGTCGAGTGGTGCACTTTGCTGTGCTCAAGGCGGAGACAGCCACCTCTGTGGCCAAGATGCTGAGCATCTTCACAGAGTTCAACTCCGATTGGCCCAAGGTCAAGGTGGTCTTTGTGGACCCTTCATTCCATCACCGGGCTATCCTGCAGGAGATCTTTCCTGCTGCCCGCATCCTCCTTTCCATCTACCACACAACCCGACTCTTGGAGAAGAAGCTGCATCGTAGTTCAGCAAATCCATCCTTTAAAAGGCTCATGAAGGAAGCCCTGCGGGAGGCTGTGTTTGTCACTTCCGAAGCCAGCCTGAAAAATCTCTGCCAGATGTCCCAGGCCCTACTGGATGAGGATCTCTTCAACTTCCTGCAGGCCCACTGGTTCACCTGTGAACTGCTGTGGTACATGCATGTTAGGAAGGGCCTGCTTGCGTGTAACACCTACATGGACAGCCTAGACATTGTCACCAGCAAGGTGTCAAGCCTCTTTCGGGAACAGCAGTCCCTGCTGGACTGCATCCTCTGCTTTGTGGATTACATAGACTTCTTTAATACCAAAGGCTTGAAGAACCTGCCCACAGCTCCTCCCAAGTTAAAGAGAGCTCGGCCAGCAAGCGTGCCACTGAAGTCTAAGAAGGCTTTTGGAATCTGTGGAGAAAGCCTTACCAGCCTCCCTGTAGAAGAGACCAAGCCAGACTCACAGCAGGTACAGGTGCAGCAGCGGTCACAGGTGCCACCCTCGCAGGTTGGCATGCTGGACACCTTGCACCAGAGTGGCTCTGAACTAGCCTACAAGCTGTGCCACAATGAGTGGGAGGTGGTACAGAACTCCACCCAGCTGGTGGACATGGCTGGCTCTTCAGTGGACGTTCAGCTGCTAGAGGACTCTCACCAGGTTAGCAAAGATGGCTGTAGCTGCAGCTGTTCCTTTCAACAATGGTACCACCTGCCATGCCGACACATTTTGGCTCTGCTGCACACCAGCCAGCAGCCGGTTGGTGAAGCCATGGTGTGCCGCCGGTGGCAGAAGAAGTACCAGCACCTCCTTGGGCCCAATGGGGAGCTCCAGGATCATAGCGTGGTCCCAAACACAGGCCAGCCTGAGAAGCAGGGACGGAACGACATGATTCAGGACCTAAGCAGGGAGTTAGCAAACCTGCTCATGCAGACTGAGGGGCCAGAGCTGGAGGAACGCTACTCCACCCTGCGCAAGATTGTGGATATCTGGGCTGACCCCTCCCAGCCGTCTGAGTTCGTTCAGCAGCCAGGAGACTTTAAGGATGTGGGCAGCCTCCCTTTCCTCTGGGGAAAGCAAGAAGAAGGGGAGGGATTCCCTCCCGCTACAGCTGTGATGCATTATTGAAGCACTTTAGCTGAGGCATTGGACCACAAACACTTCTCCTTGGAAGAAGTGAGAGTTTAAAGTGGGCAGGACATGCTAGGGGTCAGCATTTTAGCCAATGTCTTCCTAGGTAGGGCTAGGAATATTGTTACAGTAGAGAGGAAAGGAACTCCACTGTGTGACAGTCCTTTCAATCTGCCCTTTTCAGCCCTACTTTTGGCATTCCTTGGGAGCCTCAGTTGTTGTTCAAGGCCAAAGTTATCTCCGTGCTGCAAGGTCACCCTCTTCCTCCCCCAGCCCCTGAGATCAGATCTTATTTGCCCTGCAAAGATGAATCCCTGCCTCAGGATAGGGTGAGACAAAATCGGTCTGGTAAAAGGGCCTGTTTTCAGGGACAAAGGGAATGAGGATGATCTTTGGCTGTTGCTGCTCTTTATGAAGAATCTTATTTGTAACTTTTCATATTAAAGTTGTTTTTAATAAAATTAAGTAAACAAGGGAAATGTGTTCTGCTTGATCAGGGAAGGAAGAGGAATTGCATAGCAATAGGACTCGACTTTACAGTTAGGAAGTGGATGCTCTAGGGTGGATTTATTAATTTTAAAGAAAATTGAGGCCGGGCGTAGTGGCTCATGCCCATAATCCCAGCATTTGGGATGTCGAGGTGGGTGGATCATCTGAGGTCAGGAGTTCGAGACCAGCCTGGCCAACATGGTAAAACCCTGTTCTACTAAAAATACAAAAATTAGCCAGGCACGGTGGCCCACCTATAATCCCAGCTACTTGGGAGACTGAGGCAGGAGACATCACTTGAACCCAGGAGGCAGAGGTTGCAGTGAGCCTAGATCGCGCCACTGCACTCCAGCCTGGGTGACAGAATGAGACTCTATCTCAAAAAAAAAAA